TCAAATGGGAGGAGGAGGAGGAGGAGGAGGAGGAGGAGGAGGGTAGTCCAGTATTGATGTTCTCTGTGTACAATATCAATCTGCAAAAATTATAACATGTAAATGCCCTAAAGATCAGTCAAGGATTAACTTCCCCAGAGTGTCCCACTGGATGCCCTAAAGAAGACATGGGCAAAGTCATGAAAAAATAGCCATGAGCATAAATAACACCCAAGCTCTGACCTGGCTATGACACAACAAATAAACAATGAAAGCTCTTCATTTATGCTGCAATCTAATCCCAATTTCTGGATTGGGAATTGGGAACTGTTCTATGTTACACAAACAGCAGAAAAAGAGTCAACTGTATTTCTGACATCATGTACTGACCAACACTCAGATTCACTTCCAAAAAGGTGTCCCACATTGTCAGGGACATGAACATAGCAATTATCTGGAACTCTTTAAGATGCTTTACCTTTTCCTGGGATTGTGCAGAGTTGCAGTCAGGTGCAACGTTTGTGACCCTACATCTTCAGAAGCAACATTTCGGAAACAAATACAGTCCTACTGACCAATTCCAAATGTTAGATTACTGTATCCTTGAGCTACTGCACATCACCCACAGCACATTGCACAATATCATTCATGTACTTCACTTCCCTTGGCCCACAAACCTTAAGAGATAGATCTAACAGAACAAGCATTAGTAGCTGGGGCTGAATCAGTGCATGTCACTGTGGCTTGGTTCACATGTCACACAAAATCTTAAAACTACACTAACAAAACACATTTGCTATGTCCGCATAACATGCTGTTCCTAGACAATTTATGGCTGAACAAGATGGCCAGGCTCATTCAACCTGCTACGATATGGATGAATTTGCATAAAAAGCTGGACCACTAACAACATATCCTAGCCCAGCATGTTGTAGAATCCCACCTTTCCTGTGTCGGCACCTGAAGGCTATCAGGGATGTCAATAAAGTGGCAGAGAAATCAAATCTCCAAGTGTCAGCCTTGCAAGGTAGTCCAGACAAGAAGCACACCCAGGTGAATTAATCCTACTTTATTGTAAGGTTATATTGACAGAATCTTGCAAGACTAAAAGTATTTCTCCCCTCCTCTCCTTTTAGTCTCCAGAAAACTAGGACGGTTCCCTTCTGAAATGCTTCCCATGCTTTTCCCCACCTGTAGACTGAGCTGCCTCTTATCAGACTGTTGCCTGGGCTATGGGTCTTCCTCCTGCATCCCAAGGTCATTCCCACATACCATTACATCAGGTGTAGGGAAAAAAACTTTTTGTCACAAGTTGCTGAAGGGCAGAGACCCCAAATCAGGGCAAATGGCATGTTGTCCTGCCCAAGGGCTTCCAACAGAGTTCTGACTGGCCACTCCACCCCAGGAAGAAGCTGCTGCCATGGAGAGCAAGATCCTGAAAAATACATAATTATCATTTCATCGTTGCTGTGCACTGTGAACTTTGGCCATGAATGCCTTGTTTCTCTAGCTAACGATAAAATGAGATCACTTCCAGAGTACAACAGAAGAGGGGTATCTATGAGCTCCAATTCTTGTATAATAGAAAAAAAATTCAAAAGTGATGATAGAAAAGTTCCAGTCTGGATTACAGTGAGGGTCAAGGCAGGGAAAATGGTAACCAATTTGTGATCAAAACTCTTGTATATATGTGTGTTTCAAGTGAAAAATTGTTGCACGGGCCAGTGTGTGGAGAGGCAATTATTGGAAGAAGATCTACCCAGAGTCATTTTGTATGGGATGGGCAGCTATATACTGTAAATGTGATCAATCAATCAATCAATCAATCAATCAATCAATCTATCTATCTATATACTACAAAAACTCTCCTGTCTGTTTGTCTGTTTATAACCTTCAGTTGGCCAAAACAGTGCATCACAGGGCAACAATTTTTAAAGCAAGGTACCTCATATGGGCTAACTTAAGGAATGTGTCCAAAATCCAGGACCCATGAGTCCTATGGAACTGAAATTTC